AGGCCCGACGGCGGGAGCGCTGCGCCCCCCCAACACCGGGCCTGCCCGGGGAGCAGCAAGGGGCGGCGGAGCCTCAGCCCTGCCTCAGCCTTCTCTCCCCTTCCTCGGCTTTGACGAGCGCTTCCCCGCTCCTCCAGCGTTGGCCCTCGGGCCTTCACCTGCATCTCCCGCGGGTTAAAGCCGCCCGTCCCGCCTTCCAGCCACAAGTCAGCTGCCTGCTGCCTTTGAGAATCGTGATGTGAAAACGAAAAGTATTTGCAATTTTCCAGCTTCTTTCTGCAGCCTGGCCGGCTAAGGACACGGTTTGATGGTGGTGGGTCATGTTTGCTTTTAATCTGAGAAGCGCTAAAATCTCACATAATTACAAAACTCCAGGGGACGGACTTAAAAAAAGTAACAATCCATCCACCCGGTAATACAGCGTGATGATAAAATGGCAGGAATCCTCCAGCCACAGCCTCTCAGCATCCCCTCTTCCTCCTTCCCTCCGTTGGCCCCCCAAGGTTGTCCCCCTCTCTGCTGAGGCCAGGACTTGATCCACTCGTCATGTCAGGTAAAGCCCGAAGCTGTGACTCCGGTCCCTGCAGACGGGTCACTGCAGCCTGGGGTGAGCATCTCTTGTCCCCCCCACCCCGAGGAGCAGCGGCCGCAGGCTGGCTGCTCCCACACCGAGCTGGTGGCAGGAAGGACGCGAAGAAAAAAACTGCTCAGCCTCCCTGTCCTCGGCACTGGGTTAAACATCTGGGCAGTCCCAAGCGACAGGGGACAGTGGTAAAAGCAAGGAAAAAGGTTTTCTGGAGCAAGGCCCAAAGTAAAAAGCTTTTTGAGGCAGTACAGTACATATGTTTTCCAGCCCAGGCACAGATAGATGCGCTCCCCTCCCACATATCTGACGCCATTCCAGGCTGCAGTGTGCTATCTGAGGGCGAGAGGCTGAACTTGGGAGCGATGCCCAGACGCAGAGCCAAAGAAACTTTACTGGCAAGCCTCTGAAAGTTTTTTAAAATTTGTTTTGTTTCTGCATTGGAGCAGTTTCTTACCCTGGGTGGCCAGCCGGCAGCGCAGGATATCTGACCAGCTCAGCGAGACAGTGATTCAGCCCCGAAGCGTCTGAAACTTGTTGGGATAGCGTCACCATCCTACGCTGCAGTAAATTGGTGCTGCAGAGACCTCAGGGGTTCCAGGTCTCTTTTTGGTTTTGAAGGGAGCTCAGCATTTTTTCAGCTACTGAGATTGCTTGGCATAGCTTTACATTTTCGCCTTTGTCTTCTCAGAAGAAAAGGCTATAAGCGGACTGCACAAAGGCCGAGATGCTTTTCTCCATATCACCGTTTGCATCTGGAGGGGAAGGGGTGCGTGGGTCCTGCAAACCTGCCTCTGCCCCGCCAAGTCCAAGCTGTCTTCACAGTAGTGCGGGTGGAGCGGTGGGAGAGCTGGTGAGCACCAGAAGATGCCACAAACCTTAGAAACCTCAGCGTAGGAACAGAAGAAACTGTAGTGCCTTCTTCCCAGAGTAACATCAGTAATTTTTTTAAGGACTTGCCACATAATAGCGTTGTTTCTTTCACTTTCCAGCACACCCTGTAACCCACCTTGGGAAAACCAATTGCTAACCGAGTCCCTGCTAAGGAAGCAATCGGCTGCCCCATCTGCTGGATGTATCTACCGCTGCCTCCGTTCTCAGGCAAACACAGCTGAAAAGCCATAGAATCACCCCAAGAAAAGTCTGCACTGGTGTGTTTTGGGCAGGTTTTCAAATCAGGAGTCAACGTTAGGCACAGCCACCCTGCAAAGTGCATTTCACCTGCCCTCGTCTGAATTCACTGCTCTTGACTCAGCCCAGCTGAGTGTGACAGCTGCTCATGAGATCCCTAATTCTTGTTTTAAATGACACCCTCTCATGGCCTAACTAGTTTAAATTATAAGTATTATCACAGGTGGATTAAGAGTTTTCATTTCAGAAGTCTACTGGAGACAAAAATCATCTGTTTGAGGGATGTCTTATGATTTTGTCTGGCATGTACCAGGTCTCAGGATTTACCCTATGACTACTGCATTAAATCAGCAATTTCTTTTTGAACTATCACTTTCATTTTTAAAAATAGCCTAGTCTTTGTTTAAAAGACAAATGTGCTGAGACCTTCAAATATGGTCTATAAGCTTATATTTAGGCACTTAAATTTATGTATCTACTAAAGCAGAAGCTCACCACTCAAAAATTCACTAGTGCAAACAACTGAATTGACTGAACACTCATCTGGAGCTGCTGGTTTTGCTCCTGCCGCCATTCCTACTGGAAAACTCTTTGAGGTTAGTACAGATACTCTAGAATTATTTTTTTTTTCATTTTTTCCTTTCTGGAAAAATAACAACTTGTGATGAAAAAAAATCAACAGAGTAACTGAAAAGTATTTACCTTCGGAGCAAATCAGCACCACGCTGTTGTAAAATAATTTTTATTTGCTTGTGAACAATTTAGTCCTGAATTATTGAATTGTGTGACTCCCCTGTAAATGATTAGGGTGATATGGATGGCTTTCTTCTTCATTAATTTTCTTTCTTGGAAATAGATATAAACAAACAGTACCTTTGTATGCAGAATTTTCAGTATTTAGGGTTTTTTTTTTTTAATTGAAGTGTTAAACAAGATTAACTTGCTTTAAAGATTTGAATGTCTTGTAAAAAAAGAACAGGTTACATTTAGCTAAACTGTCTTAAAGTATCATTTAGAAAGTAAGAGTAAACATGTTTTCAGAAATCAATGAATAATTTTGATTTGATTCGAAATGACTTTTCATAAAATGAGCTGTCTTTTCAGCAGATAATTATTTTATTTTTTTTTTTCACCATAAGTATTCTGATTTTAGAAGCGTAGGATATCAGCAATTCTTTCATTTCCATAGTAATAGTGAGTTCTCAGCTTTTTGAAAAAACATTGTAGATATCAGGCCTGATTTCATGGACTAGCTATGGCTTAAATTTGTAAATGTGGTCGATTATGCCATTAAACTCCCTCCTGGAGGTACAGTGGGTTTTGCCATAACCTTCCAGCTTTGCTTAGTTGTTGGCATGGATGGTTCGAAAGGTCAGTCATATCCACCACCTTTTTCCTGAGTTAGAAATGAGAACAGCAGCACTTCAGGGCAAACTTTACTTCTCCCCAGTAAAGTGATGGGTGGGGATTTCCTGGACGCCTTGCAAAATATTGCTGTGTGTGCTAAAGCACTGGGGTGGGAGTCACCGGCATTCAGGCGTCACCTGAAGCAGCTAGCAGGGCCTGGGCTAAAAAATGAACCAGAATCTTTCCAACAGCAGATGGCAGCTCTCCCTTGTCTCTCTTTCGTGCACACAGCAATACTGTTCGTTTTCTTAAGCAGGGGAAGAAGTTCATCCCCTCCGTGCACTGCGTTTAAAAAGTATTAGACCACCTGCTTTATGTGCTGACCACTGAAAAGCCATTTCACAGGACCCTGCATTAATGGGCTGTCAGTGTAGAAAGGCTTACCCAAAGCAACATCCCTTGCCAGGAGGTGTAAAATATACTTTAGGTCTCTCTTGTCTTCTCTCAGGTGTGGAACATAAAGGAGCTGTAATCCACCTCTCAAAAAACATAGATGTGCAAGAGGCATACGTGCCCTGGATTCAGTGGCTGCCTTGAGCGCTTTTGTCTAGCCTAGTAATGTGGTTTTGAAGCTCAGCTTGCATTTGCCTCAATGGCTAGTCTGGTTCTCAGGGTGATTCTGAGGGCCACAAACTAGGTGTCTCCTGAAGAAAGACAACGAAATGCCATTCCACTCTGGCACTTCATGGAAGCATTCCAAATCTGTATGTGGGCTGCGCTACTTTAAGATTCTCCAGCATGTTACGTAGCACATGTGCCAAAAGAAAACTCTCAAACCATTCAGAGCTCTAACAAGATCCTGACATGGTTCTTCTGATATATGTAAAGGGCCAAGTGCCACAGGCACCTTCCTGTTTGCCACCATCTGCCAGCCTTCAACTCTTTGCCACCACTCCATTATCCACTGACACTTCTTGTTTGAAATCCTTTACTGTCATCAGCTGCTTTCCCTTCTGTTGTCAGTCCCACTTCCTGAACCCCTTATTTCTTTTATCAGATCTTTTTCTTACTATCCATTTGACAACTCTTCTCTCTTCTGCCTTTAGCCTCCTGAAAACTCAGAGAGTTGTGGCTTGGGCCCCTTATGGAAATGGTGGTGGTTGTTATTCCATGAGAGGGACGTGAGAGGGACAAAGGTTTCCTGGGTAGCAGAATAATTTGCTGGCAGAAGCAGAAGGTTGCTAATGTTGCTCGTGGTATGAGAGCACTGGCAAGCAATAGTCTGCAGATTTCAGGAGAATAAAGGTGATCCTCTTGAAGTTCCATGACACTTAATTGAGAGCATGGCAGAGGTGCACCTGCTATGTGAGCGCAACACAGCAGCAGCTGCTCACATGGACTCTGACACCATGGTGGAGAACCTGGAGAAATTACAATGCTTTGACATGGATCCAGGGTTCTTATTCTTGGATCCCACAGAAGATGCCTTTGAGGTCATGCTCTAAGATACCTTTATTACCTCCTCCCCACCATAGCTGGCATCAGTACCCCTGTATGCGCACTCCCCTTTCCAGCACCGTAAGTGTACTACTTTTCTATACATGTTGCTTGTCAGGGGGGACAAAGTTTCTGATGGGATTACAGCTTTGGGCTCAGATCTGCAGGGAAGTGATAAATATCACCAGGCTGCACCGGAGAGCTGGCACACCTCTAAAAGCAATTCCACGGGGGCTGTGAGCTGCAGGAGGAATAATTCACACAGCAGCTATGTGAAACTATCAACAACGGCCAGAACTGCCTGCCCAGTCCTGACCCAGTATGGATGACTTTGCCTCAAAGTCGTGCACCAAACATGGCAATGTGTGTGTTAAACAAATGGTAGAACAGCTGCTTCGTTCATTCAGCAGGGCTGACAGCTATTCCAGACTGGCTACTCAGCAACGAGGTTCTGGAGAGGTGACACGGCCCCACAACAGTGTCTCCCTCCAGAGCCACCAAGTTGCTACACACCCGGCCTGCAGGCAGGCCTGTGGCAGGAGCCAGAGGAGGAAGGGGTTCAGCACCCCCCAGTGACTGATGTTCCAGTCCTCAGAGAGACAGTTTTATTGCACTTAATTATTTTCTACTGAAGGCATAGCCTGTGTCCATCTAAAGATCTTGCTCCTCGTGATCCACCTGGCCAAGGAAAGGCTCCTCAAGGCAGACAGTTACACATCTCTTGAGCTCTGAAACCTCCAACTTCTGCTTCTCACTGTTGTTTCCTTTACTTAAATCTCTCCCTGCCCTGAGTATAGTCAAAGCAGAAAAAGCAGGAGCATATCTTCTCCTTACGGTGCCCCTTCTGAACACAGGTGAAAGCGGGCCCTGCACTCCCTGGACCTGCTAGAGCTTGTAGAAGGATGCTACATATCCCACATCTTCAAAAAGGTGCTTGTTTAAATGTATGGCAGTAGTGTGCAGTACCACAGTGAATTGTATGTCATGCTTCAGTCACCTACCCGTACCTGCTCCTTGCTCTGTCACCATTTCCCATTAAACTCCTGTGTTGCTTTTTTCTGCTGATCGTTCAAAATCATGATATACCTAACTTTAGTATAAGTTCAACAGTCTCTGCTGCCCACATGGGTTTTTCAGATGCGTAGACATTAATTTACTGAAAGCACGCCTTGTAATTTTTGCCAGTCCCCTGCATGCACTGTAAACTGACTCGCGATCGCTGCAGTTTGCAGCTCACTAATCCTCTGCTTTAATGCCTGATTAGGTTCCAAATCCATTATTGTTAGTGAGATGTGGGTGTGGGGAGGGTAAGAGGATTTAATCCTCTTGGCTGAGAGTTAAACTGCTAGAGGTACACCCGACTGGTGCTGTACCAGTGTATTAATTAGCTGCCTGGAAATTTCGTCAGTGCTGTTCAGTGAGGTTGTTGAAAGGTCAGACCCTCCATTCGAAGCGTTGTGCTTCAACTTTAAGTCATAGCACTTGACACTTAACAAATCTCTAGGAAAAATAAAATCAAATAAAACATTAGCATAAAAATATTTTTAAAAACTCAAGTCCCTATTTCAAGCAGCCTTTGAAAGAACACTGAATCATAATAATTAGCATCTTTGTAGCTCCTTAATCACAAGGATCTCATTTCTTCATTCTCCGAGTGAGCTTCACGATAGATGGAGTTGTGGTCACTACTGCACTTTGCACAGGGGGAAACTTCACCACTCTGCCTTGCACAGTGGGAAGCAGAATTCAAGATAGTTTATCTGCCACAAAAAGAAGACCCCCAAGTCCCAGGTGGATGTCTTCATGTCCCAAACCCTGTGAAATGAAATTTATTATCAATAAAGATGTCATTTTATTGCTTAAAGTATAACACTACCATATGAATGAAAAACATGCCATCCTTGCAGGAAAAAAAAAAAATCAGAGAGGGACCTGGGGTGTTGATTGACAGCCGGCTGAACAGGAGCCAGCAGTGTGCCCAGGTGGCTAAGAAGGCCAATGGCATCCTGGCTTGTGTCAGCAATAGCATGGCCAGCAGGGACAGGGAAGGGATCTGAGCCCTGTGATTGGCACTGGTGAGGCCGCCCTTTGCTGAATGGGTTCAGTTTTGGGCCCCTCACCCCAAAAAGGCCATTGAATGACTCGAGCGTGTCCAGAGAAGGGCAACGGAGCTGGTGCAGGGTCTGGAGCACAGGTCTGCTGGGGAGCGGCTGAGGGAACTGGGGGGGTTCAGTCTGGAGAAGAGGAGGCTGAGGGGAGACCTCATTGCCCTCTACAGCTCCCTGACAGGAGGGTGCAGAGAGGGGGGATGAGTCTCTTTTACCAAGTCATAAACGACAGGACAAGAGGGAATGGCCTCAAGTTGCACCAGGGAAGGTTTAGACTGGATGTTAGGAAACATTTCTTTGCAGAAGGAGTTGTTGGGCATTGGAATGGGCTGCCCAGGGCAGGGGGGAGTCCCCATCCCTGGAGGGGTTGAAGAGTCGGGCTGACCCAGCGCTGAGGGATCTGGGGGAGTTGGGAACGGTCAGGGTGAGGGTCATGATTGGACTGGAGGAGCTTCAAGGTCTTTTCCAACCTAGGCGATTCTGTGAAAATAAAAACGTGGAATTAAATGGCAAAAAGACAGAATTTTAGTGAGTTTTGCGTATGTGTGTAGGGCAGTCATCTGCCTTTCCTGCCAGACGGTGCTACCACTCTGGTAAAACAGTATGACTGTGGTACAGACAACAGACAAGGGCTTAGCTATCAAATAAAATAGATGACAATTTCTGAAGCTGAGGTAAACTGCCAGCTGAATTTTCAAACCCTTGCTGTGCCTGCTCTTGCGCCAGGGAGGTGGGAACATGCCACCTCGGACCTCTTACTCAGCTTTAAGTTAGGACACATGTGTCCCACAGCCAGGTGAGCTGACAGTATGTGTCCAAGGTGTTACGGCAGCATGAGGGACAGATGGTGAAGCTGCAGTAACTGGATCACGTTGGGCTGTAGGTGAGCCCGAAGTGGCTGGGCAGGCTGTCTGCTGGAGGCTCTGCAGGAGCAAGCCCTTCTCTCCCACATTTGCTGAGAGCATCCTACGTGCCCTCTCGGCTTGTCTCTCCCTTCCCATCACAGCTAAAAATACAGTGTGTACCATGCTCTGACAAATGCTTCAGAAGTGTGCATATGGCATATGGACTGCATTTAAGCTTTATTCAACCATCTCCTTGAGCCATATTCCCAGATGCTCTTTGCAGCGTGCAGTTAATAAGGCAGGCTTTAACCACATTGTGTCTGTATTGCAAGTGGTAAACTAAACACAGCTAAATGGATCACAATGTAGCCGGTTTTGAAACGAGAAAACTGTTTAAACCCACAAGGGTTTAAGCTGGATGTGGAAAGGAGGCTGCTCTCCAGCTCCGTGGGTCTAACACCATAAACATAAGGCTGGACAATTTATAGAAAAAATCAAGAGAGGGCAGGCGAGAGTACACAACCAATCCTTCCCGTGCTAACGACGCTATCACAGCTAAAGCTGGAAGAGGGCAGCATGTGTTTTATTTAATGGTTTATATTGCTCCATCGCTTGAGGTCACATTTCTGAGAGCAAAACAAATCAGCCGTAAAAGCAGGGAACCTCTGCTGCGGCAGCTGGGTCTGGCCTGGAAATTCAAAGTTTGGGTCGAGATCCAAACTCTCCTCAAATGCCCAAGGACTTGCATTTTAAGATTTAGATTGTGTTCACTTCTATTTATGGTAAAAAAAAAACAGAAAAAGCTTAGCATGCATCTATTAGCAGCTGGCCTAGGCTTCTTATGCTGTTGTAAATGAGGTTAGCAGGATTCTGCAGAATATTATCATAAGGTTGCAATTAGCAATGAGAATTATGCCACACATTTTACATTAAAAGAAACACAGTAAAAGGCTATTCAATTCAGACAACATCAAAGTATGCAGTTAATGTAAATTAATAACAGAGCAAAAGAGAAGCTTTACATGCACAGACAGGCCAATAGTTTATATTTTTTAAAAGTTCTTGTTGAGAAGTTTGGTCACACTTTATATTAATTTTCCATTTTTTAATATTTTATAGAAGGTCACTAATTTATTATTAGCATGAATGCGGACATGAATTATATGGGTATGAATGTATCTGGGAAAAACATGAGTTATATGGATATGAACATGTCAAGGAAAGGCATTTCTTTAACTAAATCTCTCTTTAAAATTAAATTTTCCAAGCTATTAAATCTTATAAAATACTTAACCATCTACTAGCTTGTCTGTCTGCTCACCAGGTGCTCTCTACTTGTAAGCTACTGATGCTTTATGCGCTGTTTAGGAATAGAACCTTGCATAATAAGGTGGTTTGAAAACTTCGGATTTTTGAGCTTATAGCTAACACCTGGATGTTGTTCTCCCTGCAGTTGGTGAGATTGGTTTATTAGGTGTAATTGGAAAAAACATTGCATCCTCTCTTTTGAAATAATGACACCAGGCTTTCTATAATTAAATTAATTTATATGGAAAGGCTGGTTGACAAAAATATTCTGAATACGGAGAAGACTGAACTGAATGTAGTGGGGTAATTTTAGTGGTTTAGATCTTTGCCTTGTTTAATTTTTAATCTGTTAATTTTACATTTCTAAACAGCGTCTTTCAACACAGAAGTACTGGGATAAATTTAGTTAGAGTTAATGCAAGCTCCACTAAGTAAGGGCCATGAATTCATTTGACAACACCTTCATGAAGGGCTGTAACAGCACAAAGCACCTTGTTGCAGAGAATCCCAGATGGAGACCTGGAAGTCAATGATGTCAAATGGCAAATACACACAGTCAGAGCACCTTATTCTGTAAAGTTCTGCTCCTAGACAGCGTATAAAGCATCAGTAGCTTATGAGTAGAGAGCACCTGGTGAGCAGACAGACAAGCTAGTAGATGGTTAAGTATTTTATAAGATTTAATAGCTCAGAAAATTTAATTTTAAAGAGAGATTTAGTTAAAGAAATGCCTTTCCTTGACATGTTCATATCCATATAACTCATGTTTTTCCCTCATATATTCATACCCATATAATTCATGTCCGCATTCACACTAATAATAAATTAGTGACCTTTTATAA